AAAAAATATGTTTCCTATTGTCTGTCAGGGCCAAGTCTGGTGCTTCCAGATGCTGAAGGAGCATGCTCCACCAGGTAATTTATGCTTTTCCTTGCTATCTTAGGTTTAGGTGTGTTTTATCACACTGTGGGAAAAAAAATCTGTTTAACCACCATACAAAATGAGGTAATTCTACCCGGAAAGTCAGTGTGTATGGATCAGGGCTCAACCCCCACGTGTATACACATTAGTCTGTTTTTAATAAAAACATAATTTTTACTTCTTCAGGAAAAAATTAGTATCTCTTCATCACTAGTAATGATACACAAGTGCTTGAACTACCACTAGGTCACACCTCATTTTTCATGTTTTTTAAATATTATATTCAATTATGTTTTTATTTTTTATTTTGAGAGGTTTTCACTATAGGGTGCGTGCGCTCGCCAGACAGAGACATAGAGACAGAAAGCGAGAAATCACCCCCCAGGGGGGATGGTCACGCTGCAGTCCCTTCTCTTCCATTCTCCTCTCGGGATCTTGGGCACACACGCACACATGCCCAGCATGAGTTCTAAGCCACCAGGTCCGGGACGCAAACCGCGGTCGACTACGTGGGAATCCAGCGACATAGCCATTACGCTAACTGCTGGTTCTCCGATTATGTTTTTTAAGTATTATGTTCTATTATGTTCCAGTGTAGTCTTTGCATTTGATTATAAAGTTTTAATTCAAACTAAAACAAAAATAGCAAAATAGCTTTCTTGAGTTTCAAAATAAGCATATAACAATGGCAGTGGATCTTTGTCTGTTGCTCTTTGTGCTGGTCACAGATGAACTTTCCTTCAGGGGTCAGGTGGAAGTAGCCATTCCCAAGGCCCTTGGCTGACACTGATTCTGTGTTAAGCCTGCTTTGGCTTCTGTATATAAACCATAGTCGCTTGTAGGATCCTGCACTGCCCCTGCACAGAGGCTGGCTGTTTCTTCACAACTTTGAATTCTCCCGTGTGTTTAACCTTTAACCTCACTTTAACCTCTATTAAAGGTAGACATTATCTTCACCCACAATCCCTGATAGCAAAACAGTCACAACCACATGAAAATAATAATATGTGTAATTATATAAGAACAATAGTATGAAAGCTAGAATTACATATTTTGAAAAGGTTCGAGATAATATAAGAACATTAATATACAGACAGCAGTGGGCAAAAGATATAATTTAGAGTTAATAAATCAGATAACAGAGATATAAAGGCAAATACTAAGGAGATATAAAAGCAGTAATATAACTAACCAAAATTGTGTGAGAGAAAGTCAAGTGTAAGGAAAGGAAGAGCTATACCAACTTCATCATCATCCATTGTGGGGAGTTAATAGGTGCTGAGTAAAGAAGTAGAGAATTGAGTAAGTTGCATACATTGTAACCTTAAGGGTAAGTGCTAGGAGAACCAAAAACAGATGTTAAAAATGTCAAAGGACTGGACCAGCATATGGTGTAACGGGTAAGTCACTTGACTCCCGCGTGTCAACCGACGTTTGAGTCCCTGACCAGGTGGCTTAAAATTCACTCCAGGCATGTGTGCCCAAAATCCCAAGAGGAGAATGGAGGAAAGGGATTGCAGTGTGACTATTCCCCTTGGGAGGGGGGGATGATTTTTCACTTTCTGTCTCTGTTTCTCTCAGTCTCTCTCTGGCAAGCATACGCACCCTATAGCAAAAATCTCTCTACCAAAAAAAAAAAAAAAAAAGAAAGAAAGAGAAAAATTCCAAAGGATCAGAAAACACATCGAGCAAAGCATATGCCAGTCAGAGATGTTAATGAGAAAAGCAAAGTGCAGAACAGGAAGCCTCTATGCCATGGTGTGCATAGAAGAACGAGGGTGTCTTCCTCAGCACTCTTAGGTTATACCAGAAAGACAAGAGAAACCAGCATTTGTGCTTGCTTAAGAGAGGGCACCTCAGCGGCTTGGGGGTTAGGGTGGCGGGAGAGATGCACTCCACTATTTGCTTTGCACTCTTATACTATTTTTGAGCCATATGAATGTAATACAATTCAAAAAAGTAATAATAGAACATTTAAATTTAACATTTTTAATGCCTTTTAAAAGACTACTGAAGTACTGGAGTTTTCCAAGATGAATATTGATTCTTCATGACAAAACGTGCTTTTCCAAGTCAGAGGCAGTCGCCAGAGGCCTTAACATCAGGGTTGTTCTCTTGGCTGCTGAGAGGCAGAAAACTGCAGCGAGTGTCTAGTTCATGGTGGAACTCCCTCACACGGAGTCCCTACTCTGCCTCAGCACTGAGCGCACCCCAAATGCAGTGTAGTCAATAGGCCTGCTGAGGTTGGGGTGTTACTGCTAGATTATAGCTGAGGTAAGAGAAGGTAAAAATTTTCCCAGGTCCTCAGGGGCCAACTGGGAGCTTGACTATGTCTATTGTGTGTCCCTGAGCTGCCTCTGATTGGTACTGGCCATCCTGTCCGGGAACTGCCAGGCCTAAGGCATCTGTAGAACTGTCACAGCATTAGTGCCTCGGGAGGACCAGAGGCTCTGGAAAGAAAATTCCATAGGGCTGTACAAAAAAATAACTTGTGGCCATATCATGGAGGCCACCAGTATACCATGGGGCGCAGGACTACTGGAGAAATAGCTTGCTGCCAGCCGTCGGAGTGCGGAGAACTAGTTATTGTTTTGTGGTAATTACATCAAGAACCACCGTGCCAGGTCCTTATGAGCATAATCTCACGTGATAATCCCAGATGCTCTGTTCAGTATTTTCTGTTGCTCTCCCTTCCATTCCCTACCCTGAAATTTTAGCAAACTGAAATTCAGAGAGGTTAGCTCCCTTGTTTATGGTCACATAATCAAGAATTTGTAGAACCTGGATTCCAACCCAGATATGTGTGTTCTCAAACACCCATCCTCTCTACCATGTGTTTTCTGTTGGAAAATTCTGCTTGTCCATGGGAGGCATCCAGGGATTATGTGGTCTGGAGTAGCTAGAATCCGACCAGGGGACTCTTCCTTTGCTGAGAGATTGATGCGGTTGTTTTCACAGAAAGGTGAGACTATACTGAAGGTTGTAGGCCTGGTTCCTTCATTCCTTTCTTGTTAGCAACTTCAGACAAGCTCCTGACCTCTGTGAGCTTCACTGCCACCTTATGGTACTGTTGTGTGGTGTAGGGTATGTTAAGGCCTGCGGAGTGGCTCACCTGCACAGGTATGCTCTGTTATGCAGCTGCATTGTTAGACTTTTTTCATTTTCAGGATGCTTGTGTCTCCAATGACTTAATGTTGGGTTTAATGGCACCCAAACTTCAGACCCCACCTATGACTAAGCAGAGAAAGCATGGAGGATGGAGTGGTCTGGGAGAACTGGCTACTACCTCTAGGGTGCCAGTCAGTGGTCAGAGAATGAGAAGGGATGAGCTCCTAAGAGGACACATTTGTCAGAGACATGAGGCTACTGGTCCACATTCAGGTAACCCCTAGGGTACCTGGTCACCCTGGCAGGTAGAAGATACTGTCTATCAGGCAGAGCAGCAACTGTGATAGAAACGCAGAGGCCCAAGTTTAGGGTCCTGCAAACACCTGTGCCTCCAGGTGGTCTCACTGGCCAGAGTAGAGCATGCTAGTTCCCCAGTCTGTGTGGTGATGATCATGCGACCATGACCGGCAATTGCTGGGGATTAACAACACGATACATAATAAGTCTGACCTTGGTGCCATTGCCTCCTGGCCTTCCATATGGCAGGCTAGAGAAAGGCTTGTTAAACAGTTGGATAAATGACAAGTGCAGGGGCTGGGAGGATGCCAGTGAGCTCAGTCACCAATGGAGCCAAAGACTGAGGGAAGGAAGAACAAAGAGTGGAGGTGTTTCACCTGGAGTTGAGAGACCGGGGGAGCTGCGCAGGCCATGTGGAGTGACCCAGACCTATCACAAGGTAGAGCATGGCTGACTTCATCCCTGTAGGTGCTTGCCCCACTCAGAGGCTGCCCGTGTGAAGGCAGGACTGGTGAGGACAGAGTTCAGCTCCTTTGATTTGATCCCCCTGTGTATCCCCTTGTTTAACTCAAATAGTTTCTTTTGGATGCCACATCACCCCCATCAGATCTGGTTTTAATAAGTGCAGGAGTTCAGCAGCGGGACCACAAGTTGTCTGTGAGCCCAGAGGCTGAGCCTGATGTGAATGTCATGGGCCGTGTGTAGAAAGCTGGCAGATCCCCTCAGATGCTACTGGGAGGCCTTGCAAGGGTAGCCCAGTTGGAAAGTTCTGATCATTACTAATGTCTGATCAGCCATAAGCCCTTAATAATCAAGGAACTTTGAGAGACGTTCAGAGCTGGTAGAGCCCTCCCTAAACTGATTAACAAGCACAGGAGGAGAATTGTATAAAGTGGAGCTGCCTTGGTGGGGCTGTTCAGGAGGGTTGGAGGGAGCTGAGGAGGAGCCAGGCCAGTGGGCCCCCGGGAGAAGCTGGAGATCTGGGATTGCAAGCAGACAAGAGAGAAAGGAGGAACAGATATGAGGGCAACTGTGCCACGATGCAGCTATCCAGACTGCTGCAGGCCATGCCATTGCTGGCAAGTGATTCAGAGCTTTCTAAGGAAAGGCTCTGCCCTCCGCCAGCCAGGGTGAGAGGAAGGACCCGCAGAGCAAGAGGAGGCAGAAAAGCTGCAAGCAATGGTGGGCACTGTGGTTTGTGTGGCCTTTCCTCAGTATGCCCATGTCCTCAGGAAAGATGAAACTGTTTTCATATCTTGTTTCTGTGAAAGATGAAGAGTAAAACAAGTTTCATGGGGGATTATGCTCAGAGGTCCCTCCATTCATCACCGCGGTTGTGATCTCCCTTCCAATGTGCTCCACAGCTGCCTCCAGAAATAGGGTAGAAACAAATGGCCCTGTTTGGGTTTCCAATCCAGAAGTAATTACGGGGTGGCAGGAATGTGGTGTTTCCCTGTGTGACTGAAGGAATAGCTAAGCAGCCTCGTGTCTCTCCCACCTGCGCCTCGCCACAGGGTACCAGATTGCCTACCGCCTGGCCAGCAGCAGCCCCCACATGTTCACCACGGTGGAGGTCGGCGCCACAGTGAGGCAGTTCACAGCCACGGAGCTGGCCCCAGAGTCTGCATATATCTTCAGGCTGTCTGCCAAGACCAGGCAGGGCTGGGGAGAGCCCCTAGAGGCCACGGTCATCACCACTGAGAAGAGAGGTAAGAACTTGGGACCCAAACCTCACACGGCAGTCGGCAGAAGGAAGGTGGGTTGTAAGGGCGCTGCAAACCTGGCAGGCCCTCAGCCTCTTCATCCAGGCCCTCTTGAAATCTGCCCAGTGACTGGAAGGCACGAATGACTTGCTCTTCCCTTCAGAAAAACAGATGGAATCTGAGCATTTGTTAAGTGCCCGCTCTGCCCATGGACGCAGAGCTGGCCATGTTGTCATCCAGCATCTGTACAGCACAACCTTTAGTCACCATACCTACTCTCAGAAAGCTGAGGTTACCCCAGGCTTAACCATAGAGAAATGTAGTTCAGAGAAGTTGTGTAACTTGTCTAAGGCTACACAGGGTTACCCTTGAATGTAAGCTTTCTGAAGGCAGGCACCAGGTCTCTGATGTTCAAAATAACACCTCTTCACCCCGGGAAGCAAGTGCCTTCTAAATAGCTATTCTCCTAATTACTGTCATCTATAGACATCCACTCTGCTCCAAGCACTGAGTGATGTGCTTCATATCCTGCCCCGGTTTATCCTTACTGCAGCCTGCAGAGAAGCAGGGTATTAGCTCCAAGTTACAGAAGAGCAAACTGAGGATGCTGAGGCAGTTACTAATTTGCCCAGTACACAGCTTTAGAGATGAGATTTGGACCCTCCTCTGACAGCAAGGCTGGCTGTTCCCACAGAGTCTGTGGTGGACTCCTTTCTCAGTTGCTCCTGCATGCATCCTTAGCCTCCCACAGCTGAGGGCCAGTAATGAGCCTTCCCACAGAAGCTTTGGCCCTGTCTTCACGTTTCAGTACCATAGCCAGATCCAGAGATGTTGGGAGAAATGAAGACAAGAGGGGACTTCCGAGGTAGGCCCAATGGAAAGCACTTGATTCTCTTCTGAGAGTCTCATGGGGAGAGCCAGGCTCTCCTTGGGCAAATTCCCTATCCTCTCTATGCCATGCTTCCTCATCTGTAAAATGGGGTGATGAGGGTATCAACCTGGCAGCACTTGCATGAAGTGGTTAGAGGGCCCTAGTGACAACCAGGTGGCCAACAAATCTTGTTCTCAGAGCTCCTGGGAAGTAGGCTGGCATGATATAAGCACTCAGTAAATGTGAGCTAGTGTTATTGTCATGTCTTTGACTAGTTTTATTGCAAGATCTAGAGTGCACAGTATAAGGTAGCAATGAGTTGAGTTTAGCATTTGAAAAACAATTCTGATCTTAAATCTAGAAAAGGAGGGAAACAAGGTAGGAGATGTACATATCCTGAACCCTCACTATGGCCTAAACACCTTGTTAGGCATCCCCGTGCCTGTTCTTGTCTTTAAATTTTACAAAAGTATTCTAAGGATTTGTCAGTGAGGAAACCAATGTTCCATGAGGTGTAGTAACCTCCAAGATCACCCAATTACTATGGGCAGACTCCAGATGGGATACTGAGGCTGTCTAGCTCCAATGCCTGCCCTCCTCCTGACTGTCAGCTGCTAGATCCCTGGTCCCTCATTTGGTGTTTATGAAGAAGGCCACAGAGTAGATCAAGTCGATGTTTAAAAAGAAAGACATAAAAATATTCACAAAATTAAAAAGCATACTGCACCAAAAAGGAGATAGCTTTTGTTTTCAGTCTCAAAACTGGTGTCCAGATGATGTACATACAACCATTTGCCTTGATCTGGTGAAAATTCAGGCCAGGCCCCAGAGAAATAGTGTCTTATTATCTTTCGCCTGATTTTCTGGACTATATCCAGACTCTTTTCTCAGCTTGGCCCCACCAACTTCCTCCAAGTGCCCTGTCCCCAAGCCCACCCCTGTGCCATTCAGGCCCCTTTCTCCTCAATCTTTGGAACCTGTCTGGTCCATTAGACCCCTGGGAGTGGGACTTGTTTTTCTTTGCCAGCCTATTCCTGCCCCACCTTTGTGACTCACCTCCTCTCAGAGGCTTCCCAGATAGTCCCTGCCTCAACCAGGTCCCCTGCGGGCAGTGTGCTGCCTTCACTATGCCAGTTATCCCACTTCACCCATTTCAAGCTAACAATCTGACTTCACTGCTGAACAAGGTCAGCTCATGCAAGTGGGCATGTATTGGGGGCACATTGCTGACCCATCTATGGCCACCAGGGGGAAAAGCTGACTTCATCTTTCCCTGGCTTAAGAATGTTCCAGAGACTCCACAGCTTCCAGGGAGAGGTCAAATCCTTCAACCCTTTGTAGCTCTGGTCACCTTCGCTAGCAGCTCGTCACTAACCAGCAAGCCTCAGTTTCCTAATAGTAACAGCAGTATCTCCCAGCAATGGCATGCAATAATGCCCCTTCTCCTATACTACTATTACTGCTATGACTGTTATTACTAATTAGAGAGAGGACAGCCTTCACATCCTCGCTGATGCCCTGCTTCTTTTGGAATATGAAGCGGATGGAGAGAGGGTCATTGGCACTTGGCACCCCATTGAAGGAGCACCTTCCGCCCCTCCCCGTGCCTGTTCTTGTCTTTAAATTTTACAAAAGTATTCTAAGGATTTGTCAGTGAGGAAACCAATGTTCCATGAGGTGTAGTAACCTCCAAGATCACCCAATTACTATGGGCAGACTCCAGATGGGATACTGAGGCTGTCTAGCTCCAATGCCTGCCCTCCTCCTGACTGTCAGCTGCTAGATCCCTGGTCCCTCATTTGGTGTTTATGAAGAAGGCCACAGAGTAGATCAAGTCGATGTTTAAAAAGAAAGACATAAAAATATTCACAAAATTAAAAAGCATACTGCACCAAAAAGGAGATAGCTTTTGTTTTCAGTCTCAAAACTGGTGTCCAGATGATGTACATACAACCATTTGCCTTGATCTGGTGAAAATTCAGGCCAGGCCCCAGAGAAATAGTGTCTTATTATCTTTCGCCTGATTTTCTGGACTATATCCAGACTCTTTTCTCAGCTTGGCCCCACCAACTTCCTCCAAGTGCCCTGTCCCCAAGCCCACCCCTGTGCCATTCAGGCCCCTTTCTCCTCAATCTTTGGAACCTGTCTGGTCCATTAGACCCCTGGGAGTGGGACTTGTTTTTCTTTGCCAGCCTATTCCTGCCCCACCTTTGTGACTCACCTCCTCTCAGAGGCTTCCCAGATAGTCCCTGCCTCAACCAGGTCCCCTGCGGGCAGTGTGCTGCCTTCACTATGCCAGTTATCCCACTTCACCCATTTCAAGCTAACAATCTGACTTCACTGCTGAACAAGGTCAGCTCATGCAAGTGGGCATGTATTGGGGGCACATTGCTGACCCATCTATGGCCACCAGGGGGAAAAGCTGACTTCATCTTTCCCTGGCTTAAGAATGTTCCAGAGACTCCACAGCTTCCAGGGAGAGGTCAAATCCTTCAACCCTTTGTAGCTCTGGTCACCTTCGCTAGCAGCTCGTCACTAACCAGCAAGCCTCAGTTTCCTAATAGTAACAGCAGTATCTCCCAGCAATGGCATGCAATAATGCCCCTTCTCCTATACTACTATTACTGCTATGACTGTTATTACTAATTAGAGAGAGGACAGCCTTCACATCCTCGCTGATGCCCTGCTTCTTTTGGAATATGAAGCGGATGGAGAGAGGGTCATTGGCACTTGGCACCCCATTGAAGGAGCACCTTCCGCCCCTGGTTGTCAGCAGGAAGCATTACCTACTTACTGTTTTAGGGAAATGTTAATGGCTTTCCCAGAGCAAGCATGTTGACTTATTCTTCAGTGTCTTCACTGTACATTTTCCAAACATTTACTGTGTTTGTCCCATGAGCCAGGCCTGTGTGCACACACTCTACAGGTGTGATTGCCACATCTTCTGAAGAAGACTCTTTTTTTTTTAAAAAATAGAAATAATAAGAAACTTGTGGATGACAAGGCTTAGTCTTAGAGTACTGAAGTGACCTGAGCCCCATAACTCCCCATCCCCTTGTGTAGGAGAGCCAGGATACAAAAGCCAGTGCCGGGAGAATTCTCCCAGAAAGTAGCTGCAGCCTGGTCTGTGAGGTCCTCCTCACTTGGGAACGTGGCCAGTGCCGGATTCTTTCAGGGTCTGGGGAAATCAGCCAGAGTTCTGAATCCTCTGTTCAGGTGCCCACTGGGCTGCTGGCCTTTGGCTTCCTCAGACTTGAGGAAGAAGGCAGAAGCTTAATACAGCTTCTAAGGAATACTCAGCATTCTCTAAGGCAGAAGTTAACAGAGAGATTTGCAAAAGATTTGGCATGTCTTAAATCAGATCCAAGTGAAAGTGTGAACATGAACACCATGGTCCATCCCTGACCCCCTGACCTGCTATTGAGGGGTTAGAGGCCATCCGCTCCCCTACCCCATGCTCCTACTCCACCACAGCCCCCACCCATCTCCTGTTCCACCCTGCAGCCCGAGCCCCCTCCATACTATCCACTTCTTGAGACCAGATAGTAGAGGAGACTTTTCCAACAGGGCCCTCAAGATCCTCAGTCTTTGCAGCTCAAGGAGAGGAAGCTCAGAGGCTTACTGGCTGCTAATATGTCCAAGAAGAAAGCCTTTGAAGTAAGGGAGAAGGTGCCAGGCTATTACCCCTGGGCCAGGAGAAATCACACAGCTAAAGTGTGTGCTTAAGGAAACGAGTGCTGATTAAGTTAGATCGAAGCGCTTCTCACAGACCCATCACTGCACGGCCGACAATCAATTGCTGCTTTATTACACGCCACACATTTTAATCAGAATCAATAATCTTCATGATAAACAATTAAACAATTATTCCTCCCTCTCTAGAGTTTCTCTATTGAAATCGATGAGGTGCAGAGGCACAGTGACAGGCAGATGGCAGAGGCCTGGCCCATGCACCCTGCATTCCTAGCCACTGTCTAGAGGGGCCCTGCCCCCACCTGCACCCTCTCCCCACCAAGAGAATTAAGTAAATGTCTTTCGTGTTTTAGGCTTAAGTTGACTGTAAGGGAAAGGAAGTCAGTGTTAAAGATGAACTGAGCTCAAGAAAGGGAATATCCAAAAGAGCCTAGAAGTGCTTTCTGGGAGAGTCCCAAGTCTCTTGATCCCCTTTGTCACTCGCACATACCTGCACATGATGGCATGGGGGCTAGGGGCTCATTCGTGAGTACTCCTCTGTCTGTCTCTGCTCTGAGACTAGCATGTCTCCAGGAGCCAGCAGGGGGTCTCCAAATCAGATCCAAGCATCCAAAGTCAACTGCACTGAGGATGGAACCATTGGTAGATAGTCTATTCCATGTAGTCAGCTCCCTGGGCA